GTGTTTCTCTCTATATTTACAAAACCTATTTCATGGTTCGTTCAGATTGTTATGCTGGAGTCTGCTGTTTTCCAACATCAACAATACTCGTGCTAATTATCATAAACCGAAGTGAAGTTGTCGATTTCGTTCGTTGAGGCTGATGACCTACAATGCTATTGCTGAGTGCGCCATCGATTTTAAGCAATTACTTTAAACTTCACAACTGTGCTCTTTTGCAGAGCGATGACGGCGCTGCACCTGATCAAAACGTTGCCACAGCAATGGTTAGTCGTTGGCTTCAAAATGTTTGCGCTCTTTAAGCTACAGCAAATGTTGCACATTCTTCTAATGCAGTGCTTCTCACGTTCAGGTGCTCCATTGCCCATTTTGATGATCTGGCAGGCCACTAATACAAGACCTTACTATTTCTACGTATAAGGTCAGGAGAAAATGGAAAACCGGTCCGGAAATTTCCCAGCGGCGTAAAAGAAACAGAACTTAATCCACTGCAGAGACAATATGAACCTAAGCAATCAAAAGCAAACAACCGGTCATCTCATTCATAAGTATGGGAAATAATTTTCGCTGTAGAATCCCAAACTAAGATAATCATATGGTACACATTTCTCATAAAACAGATGCCTATGACGCGACTGAGTTGTTACTTCATTCACAAAACTCAATTACGAACCAAAAATTCCTTTATATGCAGTAATTGAAAAACCAAAACTTTTCAGTGCAACCAAATAATAATAATGTATGAATTCAGAAACACTCGATCGTCCCACACCAAGCCAATGATCTTTTCTGTTATACCAACTTATGAGATACTACTTTCCCGACCCCCTCCATTACCTCATGACACTTCCAAATTACCCAAAATGGGTAATTTCACCCCATGTGAGAACCACTGTTCTAACGAATGATCCAATAGTTTCGGTTTGATCAAACACAGCAAGTGGAGCACATTTGAGTGGAATAACTGTATTGATTTAAAAAATTATTTGAAATTTGGAAAATTACTTTTACGAATTTAAAGTCTGTTGACTATTTGTTTACAAAGCAAACCGATGGAAATTTTTCAGTTACCAACTGACGTCCCGACAGCAGCTCAGACGGGTCTTCCAGCAACTACTGCCACTGCAAAACCACCTGATAATGCTGAGAATGAATTTGGAATCGCCAAGGTTAATGTTTCGAAGGTGTTTCGTAAGTGTAAACTGTGATAAACGAAAAGAGTCGGATTAGAGAATGCAATGATAACTGCTTTCATGCTTGCTGGGCAATCCGTGGAAAATGAAGAGCATACCGATGAAGACATTGAATGAGTGCTCGTCCATTTAGTAAACAGCTCATAGATGTTCACTGCAAATGATCACGTTCTTTCAAAGAAATCGCAGCCAATGATTCAAGCACTTCCTTTTAGAGATTGATATTATGT